ACTATGACTAGATCGTAGCAAGGTTTCCTTTTTTTGATAATTTTGTTTATGATTCTTTTTCAAAACACTCTTTCACACCATAGTAAAACTCTTCATATTCGAGTTCAAACTAGAAAGTATATTACTATTTATCATGATCATTTCAAGTAGAAATGAATAAGTTAAAATATGACAATAAAGACTAATCATTTATTTTTTGTTTACAACTGAGAAAAATAGAAAGAATAACAATAACAAGAATATCAGTCGTTGAAATTATTTGATTGTAGTTTTTCAATGCATCGTTCTAATTCTTCAATAATACTTTTTAATTTTGGCTCAACATTTTCTCCACTAGTCGATTGTTGTTCATCATTCAATGTTGAAGAAGATAATGATTCAAGACGATATATTTTATTAAGACGATCAAGAAATTTATCAATTAGCCAACACGCTTGTTCAATTTCTTTCATATGTACATTCTCATTTCTTTCTAAATAAATAACAAAACTTCTTTAGTGAGACTAAAGAATTAGCTTTCTATCTTATTACGAATATAGTTCTCTGCTTGCTCAGCTGAATCTTCAAGAGAAAATACTTTTAATATTGTATCATCCGGTAACATTGATTCTAAATCCTCCATCATTTGTGAAAATGTTGGCGGAGTTGGAAGAAGACATTGTTCAGTCATAACAATTTTTTATCTAAAATAAAATTTGATCTTTTTTTTAAATAAATTGAAATCGAACATCTTCTATCGACAACATACTGCTTTCAACAAGATGAAATAATAATTCAACTTGGTCACTATTTTGCAAAAATGCTCACTGATTTAGATGTTAAAAATATATACTTTCAATTACTTTATAAAAAAAAAGTAATACAAATAACAACGAGAAAAAATTAAACAACAATTAAAATTTCCTACAAAACAATAACATTAAACAAATTCTCAAAACTTTTTGTTGTTCATGCCAATTTTCTTCTTTTTATGTTTTTTTGATACTGTTGCATCTTTGAAATGGCTTTCAATTTCTGTATCTTTTCGTTTAGCTAATGTTCTAGAATACGAAAAATTAATAAAAAAAGAAGTAAAAAATAGTGCACATAATTTCATACATACCTTGGTATAGAAACAACGCCGGGTTTATCAGCCACATTCTTCAATTCTTGTTGCCATAAACTTTCATGTCCTTTAACACTATATTGTGCCAAATCTTTTTCCATAATACGATCTAATTCTGTACTTTGACGTTCCCGAATTGTTGCAGTAACTTCTTTCTAAAATACAAATGAAAATGATATGTTGTAATACAAAAGACAAAGTACACGAACCAATTCTTGTTGTAATGATTTATCTAACGGTTGCATTGAATTGCTTGTATTAAGAGATTTGACAAATCCTACGTCTAATTCGGCTTCTTGTGTTGTATTAATTACCTATAGAATGAAAAATAAATCAGAATCAAAACGAAAAATAATGTCGATAATATTTTCCGTCCAAAGAAATTTTTCGAGTCTTGCATTATTCTACCTATTCCTCATTATAGAAAAGTGATAGAAAATTTTTGAATATAGATTTAAAAAGAACTTAGAATTCTGATTCCAGTACACTACAACTACATTCTTTTCAAATATTTGAAGGTTAAAGAAATATAGTCAAACATTTTGTATCAAAAATTTTGACCCATCCGTCAATAGAAATATGGATTCTAGCTATTCCAACAACGCACAGTGGGCATCCAGGCGGACATTTGGTGGAAAATTGAAAGTGAAACTTTGATCTAGGAGAAAAAAATAAATTCCCGAACTAATCCTCGTTCAGTATAGGTGGTGCTTAGAATTTAATGAGGTCGCATAGGTTGGATCTGATGCAAAATTATACCAAAATGTCCCTGGTCATGTTCTGCATTCATTATGAATGCGCTAATCCATAACGGACTTTGATATGGATTTTCGCCAAAACCTTGTTTTTTGAAGTAAAATCTAATTTTTGCGACGCAAAAACACTTTCACTGAGAACTAATGACATATTTGGAATCAGCACATGAAACGGCGTCGAACAGCGTATAATTTGTTAGTTTTAAAAGTAAAAAAATGTTTGACAAAAATGTAGGGCAAGTGTTATTCTCAGCATTTTTTTCGACTTTGACTCTTTTTAATTATATTAACATTTGAGACATAATTAAGCAATATTATATGAAAATAATTGTTTTTTAACGAAGAAACCACATGTCTACCTGCTCTACGGAAAAATGTTCACTGTGCTACGGTCATACCATTCAAGGTCTTACATATTTGATAAAAAGTTAGAATAATCGTTTACCTCAATTGTTTTTTTAATTATTTTGTTAAACAAAGCTAACAGTTGAGATTGTGGTAAATTTAATTCTTGTTCTAAATTTTCAATTGTTTTACGTTGTAAACCTATTGCTACAAGTATAGCCATTTGTATAACATTCAGTTGTATTTGCAATTTGTTTGAATAGTATAATTGAGCAATTGATGGTATTAAATCAATAATTAAATGATAATCAACTAAATTTCGAGAATAAGCTTCCATACGTTTTAAATCATAATCAATAAAATTTTGATAGAGCAAAGATGTTGTAAAAGCTAAAAAAAGAATTAGAAAAAATAGTTATATGTTGAGTTGATTTTATTTGTGTACCGTTTTTTTGTTCAGGATAGATAGTTTGTTGTAAAATATTTAACGCCATTCCCGGTAAAAATGTTCGAAATTGAAAGCTTAATAGCGATAGAAAACGTCGACGAAAATCTTGATAATATGAATATAACCACGATGATGAGCCTTTATCATGTTTTTCTTCATGTAATACTTTTAACATAATACAGGAATGTTCACCGGTCAAATCTGATACTGCCTGTCTCAAATAGACGGGAATAAAAGCATTTTTTTTCCAAAATTTTAATAAATCAGATGTTAATCCGAATGATACACCCATATAATCTATTTGTTCTGGTTTACGTTCTTGTAATTTTGTTAATAATGGTGGTAAATTTGTACGAGGAACAATTGTTTCATTTAATAACGTTATATCATCATCATTAATTAATTCAATTTCATCGGCGTTATTCGATGATTTCTAGAGTAAAAATACAAAATATATCTCTTTTATTCAGCTATCCGATAATATAGTTTGTATGCACTAAAAACAGATAAATTCATCTTTAAATATGTCATACCTGTTCATTATCTTCATCTAAATTTGTGATGTATCCTTGAAAATATTTTTCTAACAATTCTAAAGCTTTTGTACCATAACCCATTCGTTGATAATCAGGATTTGTGGCTATTCTTACTATTCTTACACCAGATAATTTTCCAAAATTATAATCTTGATATTCTTGTGTTATTGTCCATGGTATAAGATCACCAGATGCCCGTTTTCCATGTTGTAATTGTGTTTTTATAACATCTTTATTTAATTCACCTTCAAAACACACTTGTATAGCACATAGAATGTCGGGTAAATTATTTGCTGATGAATCAATTGGTCCTAATAAACAATATAAATCATGTGCTGGTGCATCAGACAACAATTGTAAATCATTAGGTGAATTTTTATAATGAGAAGAGACAAATAAATAAATTAAACGTTTGAGAAATGCTTCAGATGCCGAATGATAAGAAAATAACGTATCACGATTAATATAATATAGTGAACATTGATCTAACGATGGGCATGAACCACGAATTATTGCCAATTTCCTAGTAGAGTAATTAAAATCATAACATTTATAAGATTATTCCCATCCACTTTAACTATATAGAACACATTCTTGTCCTAGATTCACTCAAAATATTTTAATAGTCAATTTTTTATTCCGTTTAAGATCAATCCTAGATCAAAATGCACAACTAGTTAACTAATCAAATCTCAATATCCTTTGTGAATATCCGTTAAGATTTGATACATATTTATTCAACACTTACGATAGATTCAATCCACTTTTAAATGGATCTTGACAACAATTCAAACATAATAAATTATTTAACCAATATTCAACAGGATCGTCTAGTCCATAACGTATAGGCTCGTTTAATTCTAATTCGGTTAAAGTGCGGCCAGATGCTGTTGTTGTCGTTTGAGATTGTTTTCCAAGATCAACACTATGTGATATTGTTGAAGAGGAAAACGATGTGCTCTGTTGTCTTAACTGTTCTATTAATTTCAACGATAATGATCGACCAGTACCTGGAAAACAAAAACGAATGAAATTGATTGTTTATCCACATTATAGTATTGGCAAAGCTACGTGTCCACTTCGATAAAAAAAAACCATACCTTCATAACCATTAATTGTTGATGAAAGAAACACGAGATATGGTCCTAATAAATTTTTAACCAATGGTAATGGTATTGCAGCTGCTTCATCAATAACTAACAATTCACATTGCCCTAATTTTGCCGAGTCAGATGGATGAATATACTACAAAAACAAGATTATTTTCTTATCTTCTCTAAAAAGTTGGACTAAGAATAGTTTATACCTGTATGGTTTGTCGATGTTGTCGAAATATATTAACTCTTATTATAGCTTTATTAAATTCACTATTTGTTGATTGTATTGTATCATAATCAATATGTTCTTGATAATCCATTGAATCAAAACCTTTGAAAATAAATTCAAATAATGTTTTCAAATTTTCTGGACTTGGTGATGTAACGTAAATATTGGAATAACTAAAAAAAATGATATTAAATAATAAAAATACACTAAAAATACAAATAACAGATAACTTACCCAAATCCAATTGCTGCTGACATCGCTAAACCAAGTGCAGCTGATTTTCCTCTACCACGTGCTGCTGTCAGTACAGCAGTATGACGAAGACTTTTATCAGTTATTAAATCGATAAATTTCAATACAATTTTAGCCTAAAAAGAGTACACGATAATATTCAAACAATGGCAAATTCAAATTTATACATTTTTATTCAATCAAGAATATTTATTTCTTACTTGATCAAATGTTTTGCAACATTCGATAATTGAACCAACTGGTTGAGTATCTTTTAATGAATCACATAATTTTTTTAATTCAATTTGATTTGGCGTAAGACTATTTTCCTTCAAAAGGAAAAAGAATAAATAATCAAATGAATCTTACTTTTCAATTTTAAAAGTGTCACATACTTCCGTTTTTGCTGGTATCGATTGAATATTTAAAACAGATGATGAAACAGGTAATAAGTTTAATTGATCATCAACAACGATACATGTTTGACAAGATGATAAACTTAAAATAAAACGTTCATTAAATCGGCCAACTAAATCTGAATGACTTTCTGTACGATAACGTGAGTGAATATCCTAAAAGACATAATTTATTAAAAAAGAAGATAGAAATATCAACAAAATAGCCATGTACCATTGTCATTGTATACAATTGCTTTAATGATTTCATTGAACGTAAAAGTAAAATGACTAAACCGCCACCTTCAACGGTTTCGATTGTACGAGCTAATAAGTTCGGCGTTAATGCTTCAAAATCCTATAAAAATAATGGAGAATTTTTCGAATACAATAACAACTAGTAAATAATTGTGATATTTTACCTGTAATACACACATTCCAAATGTATTTCCTAATATTTTGTGTGTTTCATTATAATACGTGTAACGTATATTTGTTGAAGATATAAATAATTCAAATGGA